CATTTTGTGGCTTGGTTTTAAAACTGCCCCAAGCCATGATTTACTGCCTAAATTATAACGTCACATTCATGCAACATGCTGGGAGATAATCCATGAAGTACCAACAATTATGTCTGGGTTCATACAATGTGCTAAGCCAAAATCAAGCAAACTGCATTAGGTTTTAGCCCTATGTGTAAAACCAACAACTGTAATTTAGTGTTTGTGGGGAATAGTCTCTCACATCTGACAAATAACATGCATGTCTCAGTAAGTACCCATATATGTCTGCAGAAAAGAGAATAGAGTTGTTGTTTTTTTAAGTTCAAGATACCATAGCACCAACTGAATTCCAATATCTTCACTAAAAATACTACGTGAGACCTAGCTGGAACCAGCCATCCTAGGTGCTTCAGGACATTCAATATCACTAGAGGATTTAACCTATTTTTAACAAAATACTTACTGTCTTAGCTATTTATAAAATGGTTGTTAGAATATAGTAAATTAGATATTTAAGAATAGAGGAGGCACGGAATAAGGAATTGGAATGCCCAACTGGAATGTTTATGAATATCAATGGAAATTTAGTTTAGAAACTCTAAGTCACATTTCTGTAGATGTAAAACTACAACATATATGTATAGAGAGAAAGAGAACACCGCTATATGTCGGTGCAAAAAGAAACTGCTAATTCAGCTAATTACTGTAGAAGTGGCATTCAAAATGCAAAACTGGTTCCAATTCACAGGCTATATTTTCTCCCCTTTTGACCGAAACTGTTTCCCACATTAATTTTGTTTTGCAAAATTAATTTTGTTTTGCAAAATTCAGTTTTTTGTGGATGCTGATGTTATTCTGAATTAAATGCCAATGGTTTGGAAACTAACAGGAGGACAGTGGAAATTAATATTATAGCACATGTTTGTTTAGATGCTGAAATTCCCATGTGTACAAATTGTTAATTAAATGATTAAAAGTTAACCATTTAATTCTATAACATAAATATGTGCATAAAACTAGCTTTTCAGCACAGGAGCAATGTATTTTATTGCCTTTTTTTTACTATGATCAAAATGCAGCAATACCTTCTTGTTTTAATGTATGCTTCATCCACTATTCTTCTACTTTCTTTCTATTCTATTCCTTGCAAATGACAGACAGTAAGACAAAGTACACAGCATGGGTTAGAATGATTTTTTTTTTTTTAGGACAGTGGGGAAAAGAGATATTATGTTTTTCAAAGGTTCATGTATGAATGTCAAATACCCCAGTCCAGCTGCATATCTCAATCTCTTTCTCTCTCAGTTCAAACTGTCCTTGGATACATTTACTGCAGATCCAGTGATTAATTAATGGCGTAGGCTCCATGGAGTCAGTAGAGCAGCAGAACATAGCTACAGTATTGCAAAATTCATAGCTATATGATATCTTTATTAAGATCAGCCAAAACACACAAAGGGGGGTGCAACCTTTTGAGTTCTTCAAAACTCTTCATTAATCTCTGTTTTCGTAACTCAAAAACTTGCATACACTTCTGGGTGGTTTCCGTTGGCCCTAATAAAGGAATTGCAAGGAATTTTGGATTTATTTTTCCACAAACGAACAGGGCTGTTTAGCTTTTGCAGAAATCCTTTACATATAACTCCCAAGGAGCACAGTAACAAGTGAACAGAGGAGAACAGCTGGGTGCAAGGCTGGAGAAGCGACCTCTAGCGCTCCAGACCCATACAGCTTCCCAGAGATGCCTTTTGTTCAGACAAAAGTGGCTAAACAAACCAATAATTGCAATAACAAGATTACACCATCACAACGAACCTAACTCTACCTTACTACACCACTAATTTCATCATTTGGCGGATTATTTACTTCTGCATTCAGCATTCATATCAAGACAGTCTGCAACCGTGCTATTACCCCAACAATAAATGCCTTCACACCATTTCACTTTCAGTATGCAGATGCAATTCTCTAAGTATGTCAATACAACCCCCTATCAGGGACACACAACTTGGAACCTGCAAATCCCTATATGGTTTCCCCAACCCTTGGGAAGAGCCCTGAGCAGCCTTGAAGACCCCCTTAATTTATAATTTTTGAAAAGATAGAGGGAAATTATTACAGCCCAACTCACCTCACAGGGTTGTTGTTGTGGGGAAAATAGGAGGAGGAAAGAGGATCAGGTATGTTCACTGCCTTGAGTTATTTATAAAAAATAATAAAGGTGGGATAAAAAAAAATCTAAAAACCTAATCTAAGGACCTGGAAAATCACCATATTAACTATTTCAGCACTTTCAATGCAATTTGAAATATATTTAAGTTTCATTTCTGCTTTGGGACCTATTTTTTTGTTTTGGCCCCACCACCCGTTTTAGGAAAAGTCACCTCCAGAGTTGGTCTCGAATGAAACATTGAACATCCCTGAGCTTCATAACTGGCAACAGTGCTTTGCCCTCTATATCTACACAGGTTCAGTGGAGCGATTCCACTTTCCAAGAGATGACCTATCATGAGCAAAAAAGGTTCAGAAATACCATTCAACATGATGTCTTCCAAGGTTCTGAAGTCTATTTTGCATGGTGGCGGAACGGAGATGGATCGGTGGTTGATTGTGCACCCTTGCTGCACAATTGGTGAACGTGTACACAACAGATATCGGCTTATTCCTCAGTGAGTCCTACACACGTCTACTGCACCAAGAAGAGGAACTCATCACCACATCCCGAACTAAGTGCGCCCAGGGCAACCACATATGGTATAAAGGAATTTATGCCTGGGGTGGGGGGGTGGAAAAAAGTATTTCTTTTAGTTTAAGGAAATTTAAGCGTGTGGGGTTTTTTTTTTTTAAATCAAATTTGGACCGCACATTGTTACGTACAACCTAAGCATGCAAAAGCTGAAGCGAGTAGATTGTATCCATATTGGGTGAATGACTCCCAGCTCGGCAAACAAGACTTTGAACACCGTCGACGTAACCGTGGAAAAAAAAAAAAAACTGAAGAGACACTTCCAAAAAAACTTGCCAAGAAATCCCGGGCACGATTCTCTTGCAATTCGTTCTGGATGCCGCCGAGCAAACCCGAAGCGCCTCGTGCACGCCCTGCATAAATAATAACGCGAAACGCCGCACGCGCGCACGCACGCACCCCCCCTTTCTCGCAGAGGCTCCGAAACGTGCACCGACCCCGCTCAGAGAGACCCGCGTACAAATGCCCAGCACGACTCGATTGTCATTAGCTGAACTGTGCGAAGCGATCTCCCCGGGCAGCGCACCTCTCAGGATTAGCAAAAGGAGGCGAAAAGACGCTCTCCAGAACGCCAGGAAAGTTGGAACAAACGGGAAGGGAGGGGAGGGGAGGGGAGGGGAGGGGGAGCGAGCGCTTCTGGAACCGAGGGGTCTTGTCCCCCCTTCCCCAAGTCACGGGATCTTCGTTCTCTGCAAGCCAGAAATAGAGCCGTTCTCGTTTTTAATAAGGATGTATCATAGAAGCGTTCTCGTTTTTAAGGAATGAAGAAAGAAAAAACGGGTCTCTCACCTTGGCTAAATCCATGCAATTCCCATCGGGGGGCGAGGGAGTAATAACGGGGAGCCTCGAGCGTCCTCCCCACCCCGCAAGCCAGCCGAGGCAGGTGAAGTGGGCGGGGAGAAGAAATAAAGTTACTTTGCGTTGCTCAGACTCCCTTCTCGCTCTCCAGCCTGGAGCTGTTACGGCAGCAGCAGCTGGAGCTTCGTCCCGTGGGAGAGGCTGGCCCAGCGCTCTCGGGCTGGCCCAGCGCTCTCGGGATTGGCCCTCCGAATTCCGACAGGTTCTAGCACCGCCCACCTAGGCTTTGGCACCGCCCCTCGGCGCCGCCGAAGTGTCTCCGAAAAAAGCCGAAGAGTGCAGTTCTGCCGAGGCGCAAACGCGGCGTTGGGGAGATCGTTCGTCCTCTCAGCTGCGGGCGTAATATTCTCCAGAACAGGAATCCGTAGCTGGGTTTATTAAACCCAACATTCAAAAGCCTCAATCCGCATCTCCATCTCCAAGAACCGGGCAACAGGCAAGAGGAAATGCCACCTCCTGGGTACTGTTCAGACGTTCGATCTGAAAAGAGCTTTGTGAATCCAGATGCCTTCGCTCGCCTTCACGCAGAGCGAGGGTTCCTAAACTTTTTGCCATCAGACCTCCCCGTAGGGGAATCTTCATGTGTGCACCTCCCCTAAAAATCTAAACCCCAAAATGAACAATGAAAACAATACAATGAAACTTTGTTTAATCGAGACCTAAAAAATTCAAAAAAGCAAAGTTTGGCCCTCTGCCACCACCCTGTTACTCACTTGAAACCAGTATTTGGGGAAAGGTGGATTTATTGTAACAAGGAACCACTGAGAGATTCTTCACGCCCCTCCTGGACTCCGTCTGCATCTCAGAGCTTGGGAAACCCTGATGAACCTTTGCAAGTTTCTGAGTTTTGCAATATTTGAGTTGCAAATATACAGGTAACACCTCTCTCTGTCTTCCTTTGCACTATAGATTCTCATCTCTGCTAGGTACCAAGCTTGGATCATTTTGGCATCTTGTTTGAGCAGCACTCGCAGGGCGGTATAGGAACCATTGTCCTTACCAAGTAGTATTACATTCAAAAAGACTTAAAATCCATCAAATTATGTTTTCTATCTTGAAGAAATATTCCACCCCTGTAAAAATATATCAGGCTTAATGTTATTTTTGCCATTTTACTCCAGGGTTTTCACAACCAGCAGTATGGAAAAATGGGAGTTAGGAAGGAAATTTGAGAAGAAAGCAGCTGTTGCCCAGGGACAGATTTTGACAAACTTATCATGATACCAAACCAAACTAACCTTGGAAGAAAGAAAAAATAATAATCTATTCTGTTTCCAGGAGAGGCAAAATGATATTTCAAAGCTTTTTCTATCCATAACTTTCCTTTCAGAGGGAAATAATTTTCACCCAAGCAACATTTGCAAGATCAGATATGTGAAATGACGTTGTTCTAAGTTTTCAGATCATTTTTGTTTAGGGATAGTTTATGATTCAATGTAATGGGTTATTCAAACAAGGTTAAAAGCAAACCATGGTTACTGCAATGTGAGCCCAATCAATGTCAGGTTAAAAAAAGGTAGTCATGAGGCAAATGAACTTTTTAAGGTAGCCTTTCCCAATCAGAATGTGCTACTTTTCACTTCCTATAATCATTAGTCATCACAGGGTTATGCTAGTTAGAAATTACGAGGGTTCTGGATACCAGGTTGGAGAAGATTATACAAGCATGACTATAAAAAGCTGTAGAAGTTATAACATTAAATTTGCCTGAGTTCCCACAGCATACTACTTCATAGTTTAACTATGGTTTGATGAATAAGCCACAACTGTGTGGTTTTGCATTGACTAAGCCATACAATCTTGGCTTACAGACTATATGGGTTGAGTTTGCACAAAGCATGAACTCAAAACCAAACCAACAAACAAAACCCCATGGTTTAGCCTGGTGTGCAAACCTGGTCAGTATCTTGATCACAGGGCTGGTGGTGAAGAAGGCATGGGAAATCTTAAGCATCACTTCATGGTTGGCTCCTAGCCCTTCAGTGGTGCGGTGTCTACGTGGTGCTCCCATGCTTCTTCCACAATTTCCCAAACTTTCTGGTAAGAAGGCCATTTCTCTTTCCACAAAGTTTGCTTTTAATAATCCCCAGTGAATCAGATCAAAAGATACTTCTGGTTGCTTCCTCTCATTCTATTCTTGTTTATTTATGCTATACTTTTAATACAGGGATATCTTTGTTGGTCCTCCTAGCAAAAGTGGGTCATTGTTAATCTTTAGTTAAAGTGGATTTAGACTAGGAGGTTTCTATGACTTCCCTAGTAGCTTGACAGCTGAGGAGAATTTGAAAACAATATATATATTACAACACACCTCCAATACTGTTTAAGGTATTCATAGCTTCAGTGACCTCCAGCTTTGTTAAAAGAAAGATTGCTGAGTTGATTTCTGTTCAGTTTTCACCCAACAAAGAAACTGTGTTTCTGACAAAGAATGGAAATAGTTTTGATTTCAAACAGCTGGAATTTATATTCCTCTAAACAGGGAACTTAATAAACTTGCTTGTTTATTCTTCACAGTAAGCTTTGGCAGGATCCCTGGTGCAATTTAACCCCATTCCGCACCTCAGGAGTCTTTAAACATTTTGGTCCAATGGAACATTTGTTATTTTGATTGCTTTTCATGGGCACTATGCCTGCCGTGAGGGTGGGGTTGGGGGTAGTCCTTTCAGAGAACTGCTGTCAGAGTGGCATAGGCAGCCAAAAATACAGAAAATCAGATGGATCCCACAAGTCTTACACTGGCAGTACTTGAGAAATCCAGAAGTCTTTTCTCACTTACTCCAACAATACAACCTCCTATAGATATATCACATCTTTCTTTTCTTCCCCCCATCTCCTTTTCTGGCTTCTGATGAGAAGTTACAACTTACCATTAGTTTTTAAAATGTCAGATGGCTTAATTGCTTAATAAATACATTGCCTGTTTCAAGTTTACACAGGGGGCTTCTTGCCCATTCAGAAGTCATAGCTCTCCCACTTCTTTTTTAGCGTGATTGTGATCCCGAAGTGAATTCAAAATCACCACTTTACATTAATGTGGCATTTTCTACTTCCAAGTTTTACTTTTTGCTTTAAACAGCTTTATTTCTGGGCATCCGCAAAGAAAAAAATGCTGGAGGAAGCAAAATTTTGGGACGTGTCAACTGTGGGATCCATAATTGGATACTGGGTGCTCCCTCAGCTTAATGAAGTTATTCAAGTATGTCTTTCCTTTGGAATTTCACTCTGCCTTTCCAGCTGCTTTGGCCAATGCCGTTCCTTTGCTAGGATAACACTGAAAACTAAACAAACCCAGTTCTTGGCTTGCTTAAAGATTTGGCTGGCAAAGTTGAAACTGAGGCATATGGTGAACATTCTGTTCCTTTACAACCTTGTTTTCTCCTTCTCAAGCTGTCTGTATGCATGGCAGCAAACTTTACCTTCAAATGACAACTTCTTGTGTATGTGGGGATGAAGCAATACACTGATCTAGTTCCAGTGCAGATGGAAGAAAATATTGTGGGCATAATTGGCTACCTTGGTAAGCAACCACTGGGGCACCAGCTTGACTCAAGGGCAATGCTTTCTCTATTTCCAGTGTTCAGTGGCTGTGGAATTATTTATGAAGCCAAAATTACATCACACCACTGCCAGCAGGATGTATCAGCAGGCAGCTGTACTTTTGCAGAAGAAATAACTTTAGGGGGAAATAACACTACAAATTGAGCACACTCATTGGCGTTGGGATGATGACTGCTGAGATGAAAAACAGGACACCAGATTTAGTGGAGGAACAGAATGGGCTGCCACCATGATGAATTTTCTAACTCCAGAGCTCAGGGTGTTAATTTCAATAACGGGTAGATAGAATAGGGTTACACATCAGTGAAAGATTTTCTGTGGCTATTCAGAGGACATCATGTACTGAAACATTACATTGGAATTTTTATTTTTTTTTGCAGTTATTACTCATGCAAAAAGTCAACGTTTCTTTGCTAATGTATTTCCAAAGCAGACATTTGTGTACTAAATATCTTCATACAGACATCTGCTGTGATGTCAGTTTGAGACAAACTTGGCAACCAGCTCCAACGGACATGGCTTTCAGAGCAGAGTAATTGCCACTTGATTAAACTTACTCCTCAAGCCTTCTGAGAGAGATGCTTCTAAGTACAAAACAATAGTTAGTTCAACCACCATCCGGTTGATACAGTATTGAACGATCTGGATTTCAGTGTTCGAAAGTTGGCGGGTTACAACTTTGCAAAATATCAGTTTTGTTTAACTTGTTGCCCTTCGGCTACATTTTATTTATTTATTTCTAAACTTGTATGCTGCCCAACTCCCAACCTTTCTGGGTGACTCCCCACAATCAAAGAACTTGCAATAAAAACAATAAAAGATGGCATGTGCAACAAACCAGATGAGATAAAGCCAGAGGTCTCCCTCTCCCTCACCAAAGGCCTGCTTGAAGAGCGTGGACTTAATGGCTCTTCTAAGGAACAGTAAAATGGAGGCCATCCAGATCTTGGGGGAACCTCATTCCACTGTAGGTGCCACAATTCCCTACATTGGAAACTACAGAATACTGGATTATGGAAGACTATATTATGGGATTACTGTACTCTCCCTGAGTAGAATTCTCTCTGCTTGTTGCAAACTGCATCCACTCAACCCAGCATCTACGCAGTCTAATTATAATGATTTGCAGGCAGTCTACTTTAGAATGAGCAAAAGGAAGTGATTCATCAGTAAGTGCTTGGTTAAACTGTGGAGCTCAGTGTGAAACAATTTAAGTTGATAGACATACAGTACTGTGCAAAAGTTCTAGGCAGGTGTGAAAAAATGCTGTAAAGTAAGAATGCTTTCAAATATATATATTGTAATTGTTTATGTTTAATTCACAAAATGCAAAGGGAGCATACAGAAGAAAAACCCAAATTAAATCAATATTTGGTGTGACCACCCTTCGCCTTCAAAACAGCATAAATTCTTCTAGGTACAGTTGCGCACAGTTTTTGAAGGAACTCGGCAGGTAGGTTGTTCCAAACATCTTGGGGAACTAACCACAAATCCCCTGTGGAGGTAGACTGCCTCAAATCCTTCTGTCTCTTCATGTAATC